CTGTGTTGTGCCTCTCAAAGGCCTTCTGCACTCGTGGGCTAATTCTGCCGTGGAGTCCAGAAAAGCAGGAGTGAGGCCACAGCGCTTTGACTCATTGAGGCAGATACAGCAGTTTGTGTATCTACGTGCTGGTAAAGAGCCAAAGAAATATTTCTGAGCTTGAATTAATCCTAAGGCTCAGCTGACACGATGTCACGGTTTGTTTGATCCGTGGTGTTCATCCCTGACTCTTTCCCTGGCGATCCTGGAGGGGTTTGGTTGTTTGACCCTGGGGGATGTGTGTCTAACATGGTGAAGCGTTGGGATGAACACACTGAGCTGTTTACGTGTCTTTTGTGCAGACTGACATTGAAATTACGCGGGAGGAGGACTTTGCCCGCATTCTGCAGATGGAGGAGGAGTACATTCAGCAGATGTGTGAGGATCTGATAAGAGTCAAGCCAGATCTGGTCATCACAGAAAAAGGAGTTTCTGGTAATAGCACACATGATTCTTCTTTGTGTTGCATTCATCTCAGTGAGGTTCATAGTGTTAAATTCACGGTTCAGAAACTTGAAAAAAAAACCACCAAACCAAAAAAAACCCCAATAGCAAACTAACACACCTCACAACTCCCCCCAAAACTGGTGTGGAACCTGGTTTTGGTTTGTATTTTAGCTTCCTAGCACATAGTTGTACGCTCTGGGTATTGAAGTTGGTCCTCGGTGTTGCCATGTGAACTTGGACTCTTACAATAGTGTTTTGCTTTTCCAGCATTTGGGAAAGATACCAAAATATAAGTGAGGCTGAGTCTTAAACTCTTGAGAGCTGTGCTGCCATTTTGCTTTGCAGCCTGGTTTAAGAAGCTACGTTTAGGGTTTTTTCCATAATCCTTTTTGCTTTAAAGAGTGGAACTAGAATAGCTGAATAGATCACTGATAAACACATAAAATTTGTCATAACACCACTGATTCACCACTAAATTTGCACAAACCTCGTTTCAGACCTGGCCCAGCATTACCTGATGAGAGCCAACATTACTGCCATCCGCAGGGTGCGGAAGACTGACAACAACCGGATCGCCAGGTAAGTGCTGGCTCCTGGCTGGAACCTGTTCCTGCTGTGCATGGCATGGGGGTGTTCTGAGCTCACTCCTTCTCCCCAGTTCTGATCCGTGAGTGTCTGATGTAATGTTTTGGTGTGCCAGGGCCTGCGGAGCTCGCATTGTCAGTCGCACAGATGAGCTCCGGGAGGAGGATGTGGGAACTGGTGCCGGGCTCTTCGAAGTGAAGAAAATAGGAGATGAGTATTTTGCCTTCATCACTGATTGCAAAGACCCCAAGGCTTGTACTATCATCCTGCGGGGAGCAAGCAAGGAGATCTTAGCGGTAAGTGTGAGGAGGGTAAGCATGGGCTGCTTCACCTCCTGTCCCAGCCACCTTTGTGATGTCAGTAAGTCATGGCCAGCAGACTGGGGGCTGAGCTTTCAGCTGGTGGGGTGCTCCAGTTAATAATGAGAGGGGCAGCAGAGCTGGGGAAGGGTCTGGAGCACAAGGAACAGCTGAGGGAGCTGGGGGGTCCCAACAGGGATCTCTGAGTCTCTCTACTGCTACCTGACAAGAGATTGTAGCCAGGTGGGAGTCAGGCTCTTCACCCTGGTAACAAGTGACAGAACAAGAGGAAATGGCCTCAGGTTGCACAAGGGGAGGTTTAGATTGGATATTAGGGAAAACTTCTTCATGGAAAGTGTTGTCAGGCACTGGCACAGGCTGCCTAGGGCAGTGGGGGAGTCCCCATTCCTGGAGGGTTTTAACGGCCATGTGAATATGGAACCTGGGGACATGGGTTAGCGGTGGCCTTGGCAGTGCTGAGGAGATGGTTGGACTCTGATCTTAGAGGGCTTTTCTGACTTCAGCAATGCTGTGCTCTGTGCCTGTTGCAGGAGGTGGAGCGCAACCTGCAGGATGCCATGCAGGTGTGCCGGAATGTCCTCATGGACCCGCAGCTGGTGCCCGGCGGGGGAGCCACTGAAATGGCCGTGTCCCATGCGCTGACCGAGAGGTCCAAGGGCATGACAGGTGTGGAGCAGTGGCCCTACCGTGCAGTGGCCCAGGCTCTGGAGGTCATTCCCCGGACACTGATCCAGAACTGTGGCGCCAGTACCATCCGTGTTCTGACCTCACTCAGGGTAAGACATGGGGCACCAGGAGGGAGTCAGCTCCTTCCCGCTCTGCCCAGCCCCAGGCATCATTCACCCTTCACAGCAGTGCCCTTGTCAGGCTGCCAGTAACATTCTTGTACGAACTCCCAAACTGAGAATATTCTAATGGCCTGTTACTGTTTCATGAGCCCATGGTCAGTGGGAGTTTCTAGAGGGGAATCTGTTGTCTCACCCCACACGTGTGTTTCTGCTTCCAGGCCAAGCACACCCAGGAAGGCAGCCAGACATGGGGGGTGAATGGGGAGACTGGAGCCCTGGTTGACATGAAGGAGCTAGGGATCTGGGAGCCCTTGGCTGTCAAACTGCAGACCTACAAAACAGCCGTGGAGGTAAGGAGAGGTGGGAACTCCAGAGCTTCTGTGGCATATCCCTTGGGAGAGGAGGACATCCCTCCCTGTGCACTGGGGTGTTTGGGTGGGTGTCAGACACCCAGCACGGGCTGTGCAGGTGTCTGAGCTGGCTGCTGTCAAAGGTGAGATGATGAGGGATGTGGGAGCCCAGACTCAGGCTTTACAAAGCTTGGTTTTTGATCCTGTGGCTAAAATTCAGCATAATCCATCCCACCTTTTCCTCCAAATGGTTCTTACACGGACAGGCTGCTCCCAGGACCAGACAGAGCTGCACCTGAGCAATCCCATGCCAGCAGCATGCTGGAATTGTCAGTGCCTTGGGAGCTTCAGGCTGGCTGGGGCTGCTCCCCTCATTACAGATCCTGCCATTCTCTCACTGGTGTTGGATCAAAGGCTGTTTCTTGAAGGGACACTGTGTCTGTTCTCTGTCAGTCGATGAGAAAAGATGGGTGTCATTGTTTGCATGGTGGGGGTAAAGCAGCCCCTTGCTGCTCCCACGTGCCTGCAAGGCACAGTGTCCCTTCTCCTGTGCTGAAGGAACCATAGGCTGGGGGTTGCATGGCGTGGGAGCTGGGCTGGCTGGGTTTTGCTTGTTGTGCTGAGCTCCTGACGAGCCCCGGGTGTGGGGTGTTTCCTGCAGACTGCAGTTCTCCTCCTCCGTATTGACGACATCGTGTCGGGGCACAAAAAGAAGGGTGACAACCAAAGCAAGCAGCCCACGGCGCCCGAGGCAGCCCAGGAGTGAGAGGCTGAGTGTCCACCAGGGAAAACCAGCCTTGGACCTTGACACAGGGATGAGCTCAGTGCAGTGACCCAGTGCTGAGGCTGAGCGGGGGGAAAGTTTGTCTGAAGTCTGGGAGGGATGGAGAAAACCCTGGACATGGGGGAAGGTCTGTCACTGTTGGTGTCTCTGCACTGGGGGATACTGCTCCTGGGGGGAGGGTTCCAGACTGAAACTTCTCCTCTTTGCCCCAAAATAAACACGTTGTTTCAGTCTCTGTGTGTTTAATGCCCATGGAGAAGGAGGGGGGTTGTGAGCAAGTGGGTCTGTGACAACCCCAGGAGGTTCAGTGAGGCCAAGGGCAGGTGCTCAACCTGCATCCAGGCAACCCCAAGCACAAACACAGGCCCAGGGAGAAGGACTTGAGGGTGTGGGGTGACAAGAAGCTCAACATGACCCAGCCACGTGCACTGGGAGCCCAGAAAGCCAATGCTGTGCTGGGCTCATCCCCAGCACTGTGGGCAGCACGTGAGGGGGGAAATTCTGCCCCTCTGCTCTGCAGAGCTGCCTCCAGCGCTTGACCCCCCAGCACAGGGAGGATGTGCAAGGAGGAGCAAGTCCAGAGAATGAGATATGGGGGGAAAAATTCCTTCCTGTGGGGGTGGTGAGGCCCTGGCACAGGCTGCCCAGAGAAGCTGGGGATGCCTCATCTGGGAAGTGATCAAGGCAAGGTGAGACAAGGCTTGGAGCAACCTGGTATAATGGAAGGGGTTTGGACCTAGATGGTCTTTAAGGTCCCTTCCAACCTAAAGCAGTCTTGTTCTGTGGTTCCCTTTACCACTTCAATCCTTTGACAGCCCATGGAAGCAGAAAATCCCCTTCTGTGAGCCTGGCTGGAGCGATTTCCAGCTCCATGCACGCCACAGGCAGTGCAGCTTTGGGAGCACAGTGGTCGAAGCAAGGCAGCTCCTGTCATGCTATTCCTTTTATTGCCAAACCCTCAGTACCTCAACACCCCTCAACCCTGCACAGAGCAACGAGGAAGAACAGCCACAATGCAGTTGCAGCAGGAATGCTGTGCCCTTGGAATGTGATCAAGCAACAGCGCCCTGTTTGCAAGGATATTGGTGGTGGACTGAGAGGGGGTGTGTCATGCTGCTTTTGGTGTTGAATTATGCTAAAATCAGTCTTGACTCAAATTACCCCAAAGTTAACATGCTAAAAGTGAAAGTATCATTATCTAAAAATGCTACGCTGTCACAGTTGGGCCAGAGCTCGACAGTTAAATCACATTATACTATAAAGGTCCAGTCCACTTTCACAGGGCAAGTTCTAACATACACCTTTCTTGGGGCATGTGTGTGTGGAGATTCCTCCCTTGAGCAGGGGACATCTCTCAAGGTTACTCCTTGAGGCTGAGTGAAAAAGAGGTATCCACAGCCATTGGTATGGGTGAGTTACATCAACCTCTACTTAGTAACTATTTTTTTTGGTAGCTTTTTAATATAAATGCTTGGATATAGTGCACTATCCTACACTATACTATGCTATGCTAGTAATTTTAGCTTCTATACTGTGTAGTAAGTAAATTGGATTAAGATATTTTTGTCTAATCATTTATCATAAATATTTTTATATAAATCTATCTGATTTGCCATCCTTAGTCCTGCGGCACAAGATTGTACAAAGGTTCAATTGTACCTCTATAATTCCTTAAACCACTGGCAGTCTGGGGATAACACTGGATTCAGCTGTACCCAGACTCCTGTCTTGAGAAGGAGTTTAAAAAGCAAGGGAACCCTTTCTGCATCTCATGACTCAATGGGAGGGCTTCTCTAATAAACTTTGGCTGAAGCTCCTACTCCACCTGCAACAGAAGTTCTCTGCTCAACATGACACAAAGCTTCCAAGAGAAAAGCATCGACAGGGACCTTCCATATATCTCCCTTCCCTTTGGGACAGAGCTGCAGCAGTATTAGAGTGACTGTCACAGGTCTTTCCAAATGAATATGTCTTGTGCTGAGCTGGCAATAACCAAAATAGCCTATATGTGATTAAAAAAAATGTAAAACCCAATCAAAATAGTATAAAAATATAAAACGTGCAGGAGAGGGGCCAAGGGATAAACACGTGTAATACTTTTAACCTGTCAGGCTTTCAGTATTCAAATAACAAATTACCTCAAATGACATTTGTTTGACCTGACGAGTTCGTGGCTCCCAGGTGCTGCTGTTGCCCAGGGTGACTAAAACAATTGAACAAAGGAGGTTAAAAAATGCTCTATTATTCACCTGCTCCAAGGTATTTTAAAACAAGCATTGTTACATATCAGAAAGATTACACTGGTTATGAGGAGAAAATAAACTATGTATTTTACAAAGAATTGAAGCTTTTTTTTTCGTAAGAAATACTCTCTGTACAGTGATGCATTGCATGAACATTTGATGGTTCTGGGGCGATGATGGTTCTGATAGGAATGATGAAGTCTAAAATAAAATAAAGTTTAAAATAAAGCCTAAAATACAAAGCTACAATAAAGACAAATAAATCATAGAGTAAAATAAAACAATATAAAGAGCCTAAATAAAAAAGCCTAAAATCAAATATCTCTGCACTGGAGGAACTGCATCCGTCCCCCTAGAACTCAAAACATTCCTTGACCCCCAATTCCCTTCCCCCCCAAAAATACCCAAACCCCCACTCATTGCAGGCAGGTTCTGGGGGGGCAAAGCCCCCCTGAATGCCTCCCAGCTCCGTTTTGAGGTGTCCTGCTCCCATTCTGCCTCCCCCCACCTGTGCTTGAGGTCCCCCATCCATTTTAGAGCATTATTTGGGGGGAACCCTGAAGTACAGAGAGGCACCCCAACATATAGGGGGGAGAACTCAGAATGGGGGAGAACACAAAAATGTAGGGAGGGACTGCAAAATGCAGAGGGGACCCCAAAGTGGAGAGGGACCCTAAAATGGAAAGAAGGAATTCTGAAGTGGAGGAGAAACCCCAAAACGGGGGAAGGGGTCCAAAATGGAGGGAGGGAGACAAAAAATGGAGAGGGGACATCCCAAAATGGAGAACAGAGACCCAGAAATGGAGGGGTGGCACCCCAAAATTTGGGGGTAAGCCCAAAATGGAGTGGGTATCCTGAAGTGGATTGGGACCCCAATGTTGGGGGGGACCCAAAATGGAGGGGGAACCTGAAATGGAAGGAGGGGGGACACAAAACAGAGGGCAGAAAGCCCAGATACAGGAGGGACATCCCAAAATGGAGAAGGGAGCAGAAAGTGGAGGATGGGGAGGCAAACATTTAAGGGAAATCCCTGAAATGGAGATTGAAGAACTCCAGAGCACCCCAGAAAGAAGCGGGACCCCCCATATTATGCCCCCCCACACCTTTATCACCCTTTCACCCTAAACCCAGTGCTGCCCACGTTTCTCAGGAGGTCAAATAACACACTTTTACTGGCAAACTTTAGAAAATAACGTTTGACAAAAAACTTGACAAAAGTTGAAAGGGCAACATTCAATAAAAATAAAGCATTTCACATAGCGATGACTTAGTACATGCTAACCCATACAATTTAGTAAAATCCAACCCATCCATCTTTAAGTAACCCAAATATCAGGGAAGAAGATTAGAAGAAGAAGAAGTAAAGAAAGAGAGAGAAAAAGAGAAAAAGAGAAAAGGAGAATTAAAGCTACAACTCTAGATCCAGCATATAGATCCAGCTCCCAGGAGTTCAGGAAATGGCAGGGGGAGAGGCCACGTGGACACCACATTTATCTGCTTTATCGGCTTTATCTGTGGCCACAGAGGGCCAGAGCACCCTGGTGGGACTTCTGGCTCACTGAGCACTCTGGGGCCTGGCTGTGGCTCCAAGATGGGGTGTGGGGCAGTGGTCCTGGTGTGCCAGTGACTGACTGACAGCTGCTCCAGGGCTGGCCAGGGAGGCTCCAAGGGGCCAGAGCATGGAACTATTCCACCTGCATGAAATTCAACCTGTTCCTTAACATCCCCCCCCCAACCCACAGAACTGAGTTGGGCCGAGCCAGTAATGAATATAATAGTGGAGATTCTCTCACAGCCCCCCTGCGCTGGGCACTGGTGAGTCACCTCGAGTGCTGTGTCCAGCTCTGGGCCCCTCACTGCAAGACAGGCTGGAGTGGATCCACAGCCAGGGATGGAGCTGGGCAAGTGTCTGGAGAGTCAGTCACCAGAGCAGCTGAGGGAGCTGGGGGGGCTCAGCCTGGAGAAAAAGAGGATCAGGGGGGACCTTCTTGCTCTCTACAACTTCCTGACAGGAGGATAGAGCCAGATGGGAGTCGCTTTCTTCCTCCAGGTATTAATTATACAATCAACAGTGCCTATACAAAAAATGTTCTGATCAAATTTGTTTCCAACCGCCTCTGGGCAGATCTGCTGTTATCTCAACCCCTTGTGCCACACACTGGGCACAAAATGAGGTCGTCGTGGTATTCTTCTGTTTGGTAAAACCACGTGCTACTCCAGCCCGCCCCCCTCCAATCTGAGACACAAAAGACAAAGATCATGGCTGGAGAAAAGAACAGTTTACTGGAAACAGCAATGAGATATGGAAACGAAGAGTGGCAGCAAAAATATTAATTACAAAAGTGAATAAAAGAGAGAGTGATTCACATACAAAAAGTGCTCACCATGGAGCTCACGGACCCAACCGTAGCCACACAGCCCCGAGCACAAGAGAGCCCTTCCTTCTGGAAAAAAAGAGACTTCCTTCCCCCCAGCCCCGGTTTTGACATGAGGTGGTACAAAATAACCTCTGGGTCCTGGCCCTGCCACCTTCCAGCTACTGCAAAAAATTAACCCTGCCCTGGCCAGAAGCAGGACACAAGGAGAAGGAAGGAAAGGGAGAGGTAAGCCAAGGTAAGGCCAGGCAAGGGAGTGGAAGGCAAGAAAAGGCAAAGCAGGGGTAGGAAGTGAAAGGCAAGGCAGGGGCAGGCAAGACAAGGCAAGAGAGTGGTAGCAAAAGTAAGACAAGGGGTTGGTAGGAAAGGCAAAGCAAGTAAGGAGTAGGCAAGGCAATGACACGGAGGGGTGGGCAAGGCAAGACAAGGGAGCTGTAGTCAAGAAAAGGCAAGCAATGAGTAGGAAAGGCAAGGCAAGGCAAGGGAGGGGAAGGTAAAGGAAGGCAAGGGAAGAGTAGGCAAGACAAGGATATGGGTAGGCAAGGCAAGGCAGGGAATGAATGGCAGGGCAAAGGAGGGGGAGGAGAAGCAAGGCAAGTCAAAGCAACTTTGG